TTAGGTTTCAGATAGGTGCCCATTGCCAATTTAAGCAGAACTGCTTTTCATTGCAGAGAAAGGAAGGTCATTAAGCCAATGGATTTGGATGGCTCTCTTGCTCGGGTAGCAGGCCAAACTCAAAGAAACTGTAGGCGTAGAGAGTGTAGTTGCTGAGTAAGAAAAAATTTAAAAAAATAGCAGAAAACTGACTTTGCAATTGCATCAAGAAGGTTGTGACTGAAGTCGCAGAACTTCCAACTGGAAGTTGCTTTAGAAAATCATGATATATTTTCTGGTTTGAGAAGAAGTCCAAGATTGGTTCTGAGGTTTAACAAAGGTATGAAAGACCCATCTTTCTGACGGGGCATCCTATGTTTTGGAAATGCTCTATCTGTTTTGGTCACAGAATCAGTTGCTGCAAGTGGTCATCATAACCAGTCCTGGAGAAAGAGAATGGTGTGACCATATGGCTTATGCTAACTATATTCCTTCCCTGGTAAGAGGGTCATGTTTCTTAAGCAAATGCTGCCCAACATCTGGGCACAAAGGGGGTTTCTAATGACAAGAAAGTAGAAGGGACAGTTGGGTGGGTGATCAGTCATCTCTACCACAGAAACCAAACTTTTCTGTCTGGGGATAATGATAAAAACATTTGACTGAATTTGTTTAAAAAAATAAATATCCATTGCCTTTCATCTATGTCACATTTGGGAAATCAGTGTGATTCTTAAAAAGCAACATATTCTCTCCTTCAAAGGCTTTTTACCATCTCAAGGAAGGGAAACATCCAACTTGGTTATTCATGTTAGACAAGATTTAGGAGACTAACTTGGGCTTCTGGTTTTCATGACAACAGATTGGTAAGTGGAATGTGAAGTAAATCTCAGAAAGGACTGGTTTTAAATCCTATGAATGACAGATCTCTTCCATTACAATATCTTATATGCACCAGGGCCAGGTGGCTCAGTTGGTTGGAGCATGATCCCATCAACTACAAGGTTGCAGGTTTGATTCCTGGTCAGAGCATATACCTAGGTTGAGGGTTTGATCCCCTGTAGGGGTGCTTATGGGAGGCAACTGATCGAGGTTTGTCTCTCACATCAACGTCTCTCGCTCTCTCTTTACCTCCTTTCTCTCTCTCTAAATTCAATAACAACATAATCCTTGGGTCCAGAAGAAAAGTTTCCTAAAAAAGAAAAATGTTAAATGCAGATCTATACTCATCTGGTAGATCCAAATAGAGGGAGGCCCTAATGGTCTCATAGGAATGTTCAGCCTCTCAAAACAGTAAGGTGGTTCACCCATCTGCTACAATCATAGCTGTTTCAGAGGGAAACAGTCTCTGTACTCCCTGAACCTGTTTAGAAATCACAGAATGGCACCTCTTAGTCTCCCCACATGTTTGTGATTCTAAGGACAGTGCCCTCAGCCCCCCTGGGTAGGCATGGGATACAAGGTGCCCATAAATGGCACAGAGGAGAACAAGAGCTGTGGGTTAGCACAGAGCACCCTCATGACCCTCTGCTGCCCCAAGTCCAAGATGAGTGATACAACCAGCAGCAGGTGGTGTCTAGGACATACAACACCCTCATGTGGACTGCCCAAGGTCTAGTGGGAAGGGGGTGAGCATCCAGCCAGGAAATGCTCTCTTGGGTTACACACCTACGATTTCAACACTAAGAGGATCTGTTCTCATTTAAGACCCAACACTGGAAAATTGTTGCTGGGAAGACAAATGAGTTTCTTATAGCCCAATGCTTGCGGTATGTTTTTGTTAGACAAACAGTGCTATGATGGAAGTTCTGTATAGTGGAACCAAACTTCACGGTCACTGGAACATATTATAAGTTAAACTGACTCTTGTGGACTTGAATTTAGGCATAATTTACAATGCTGTTTGTATAAGGAAATGTATTCTGGGTTCCAACTGACCAATTTTTATACAAACTTCAGCAATACTATTCACTTGTAATTGCTGCAATAATTGTTTTTCTTTGGGTAATAAGAAGAACCCAAAACAACAACAACAACAATGACAACACACACACATACACACATGCATCTGTGGAAATTCATTTGTAACATCAGCAATTGAATGATATGTACAAATCTATAATGATGAAACTTACAAAATAAGAATTAATACTATTGAGGGTGATGAGAATGTTGTAGGAACAACTTACTTTGAAATAAATGCATTCTGTTAGGCAAAGAGGTTTATCTAACAATTTTAAGCTGCAATCTTTCTAATTGTGTTCAATTATCTGTAGAGACTAACCAACCTCTTACTGAGTACAAAATCACACACCGAGTTAAATATGAACTAATTTAATTGCTGTGAAAGCCTCAAGAGATTCTGACCAGTATTCCCAATATTACCAGAGGAATCTGAGGCACAGTGAATTAAAATTGCCCAAGGTCACATGCGAGTTCAAGGATTTTAACACCTGATTTTCACTTTTAATATTTAAGTTTATACTAAAGTTTTGTACTCAGACCCTCACAAATCCTGTAGATTTTGAAAAGTTTTCCAATAGAGACTCTTTGAAAATATTTCACTAGAGTAAATCCTGTTTAGGCTCTAACTTAGTAATAAATTTAGAAGTTGAAATTGATTCTAATCTCATTTTATATTTTTTGAAAATTTAATAGCATAAGTCAGATGGCAGCATCCCACACTTAAGGACATCTGCATTGCACATAGAGAGTAGAAATGCAGCCCAGGCCAAGTAGCTCAGTTGATTAGGGTGTTGACCTAATACACCAAGGTTGTGGTTTCAGTTCCCAATCAGGGCATATACCTAGGTTATTGTTTCTATCCCTGGTTGGGGTGCATACAGAAGATAACTGATTAGTACTTCATTCTTTCTCTCTCCCCATTTCTCTCTCTCTCTAAAATCAATGCACATAGAGCAGGGAGAGGATTAAGGACGATAAATAATACATTTGTTAATGTGGAACAATAAAATTGATGGTGATTCTCCCTCTGTTTCTCACTCTCTCTAGAATTAATGAGTTTTGAAACATTTGAAATGTTTTCTAAAAATAGAAATGCTTCTATCACCTGAATATCTGTCCTATGAAGACTCCTCTGGACTGCCAGCACCTGGAGAGGCACAAGATGGGGGGGGCACTTTATTCACAAAGCTGAGGTTGAAATAGTTCAACTCTATGACCCTAGCTCAGGGGAGTGGTGGCATCAGATACCTAAGTGTTCCAGGAGGCAGGATACGAGCTCGAGGTCCTCAGACTTTTCTAATTCGGATGGTTGTCCTGAAGCACTTCAAGTTGTTCTCTCTAGTCAGGGAAGCTGGCACAAAGCCCTTCCTCTATGCTATGACAGGAAACTAAGTGGCAGGGAGAGCAGAGCTCAACTATCCTCCACAACCAAATCCAGTACTTAGCATCCCGTTTCTCAACAACAAGACAGAAATATAAACTCTAAGGCAATGACTAGTACAACTTCTGATTTAAAATAATTGATCGTAGTTTATTTTCCATTTAAATTATTTTCAAGACAAATGGACACAACCTGAATGAGTTTGGAAGAACTTGGAAATTGTAGGATCGATGTTCTTTCCTGCTATGTGCTGGACTCAGAAGAATGGAAGTAGCACACGTCTCCCCACCTAGTGTCCAGGGAGCCCTGGAAAGATATACCCTGAGTTCCTCTCGGGTCCAAACATATCTGTGCAAATGATAGTTCCAACAATAGGGGTTGGCATCAACTGAGAAAAACCACAATGAAATCTCAAAGAGGTAAGTGTGTGCAGAGGTGACTCTTAAGAAATCTGGCTACATTGAAATGTTGTTTTTTCTTTCCTTCTCATGGAAGATGCAGCCCCTTTGGACTCTTGATTATTCCCCAAAACAGAGAACCATCTCAGTTCCTGCAGAATATTTAAGATGAAAAAACATGGTCTCAGCCAACCCCACATTGTACAGAGGAGAATTGGATTCCTAGACCTGTATGGACTTGGGCTAGTTCCCCCTCGATGTGTCAGCTGTGCTGGTATTTGTGACTCCACTGCTTATATCAGAGCCTGGACTGCAGCATGTTTACTTTTCATCGTACATGCAGCTCAGCTCCTAGTCTATGAGTGTTGTTAGCTCGACGAAAGGAGTAATGTCCTGGCTGTTTGTTTATAAGGTTGTGAACTTGAAAATGGAAGACATGCCAAGTATTCCCCCTAACCAGGAAGGAGTAGTAGCTACAGTCCACCCCAACAAAGAGGAAGAGTTTTTCCAGGTCCCACAGAACTACTCAGCCAGACCTAGTGAGTGCAATCTTCCACTAACTGGGGACAGCCAATAAAGCTGATGGCCTGGTCCCAGCACTGTGTGCTCGGGCTACACCCTTGACCTCATGGTAGCCTTGGGAGGATTGATGACATGGATATCATTGCATCACACCCAAATCTCAAGTGACTGAAGAAGCAGGAAGAAAGCAAGGATGTCGACTTTTAGTAGATGAATACTAAGTACTTTCATATTACCAAAGCATTAGACAACAATAGAGTCCACCTTATAAAGGACAGTTTTAAACAATATGTGAGAGTACTGGTCAAGTTGTCTACACCAGTCTGAACCAAAAGCCAAGAGTAAATCATCTTTTACTACCTCATGTCCTGGAAACATTTGATTCCCTGATTCAAGGACAAGAAGACTAGCTGTAGAATTGTTAGGTTTGGTTTGGCTCATAATGCCTGCATGTCTTCAGAACCCTGTTATCAATGTGAGCTGGAAAATACCACATACCTGCACCCTTGCTGGTATGAGTTAATGGGGACCCACAATGTGTGGACGACGCTGCCTGGATGTGGCTTGTCCCCACATGATTTTCATGACCCACATTCCCAACCGCCTTTTACGGGAACTGAGCATGTTCCCCAGGTCTAGTGGTATTAATGCTGGAACAGTTTTACTTTGGTAAGAGGTTGTTGCAATTGGCAACAAGTGGTGCCAATGTTCATAATGCATTTATGTTTAGGAATCGTTTTTACAGAAACAGAGGTAAGTTTTACGAGAACAAAATGCCTTGTTTTAATACAACATCGCCATTTAGGGGAATGCACACCATATTGGCCTTTTCAAAGAACTTATCACCATAAAAGAACATTTGATACATTACATCTTAAGGGGCCAGCAACGAGGCTGCCATAGTGAATATTTGAGCACGTTTTCCTTAAAAGCATACAACATGGCTTTCCTTCATTTGACTCAGCTCTAACAAGTTCTCTGAAAGTATTTCATGTCTAGTACAAGGAATAGTACATAGGAAATAGCACAAGGCAAGATTACATTTTCCTGGAGCAGTTAATTGGAAGTATAAATTGTTTTGTATTTTCAAACTACACACACACACAGAGAAGGGAGACCATGCTTGACTCTCAAGTGTAATACTTCCAAAAGTCTTTCTACACTACTATGCACAGAATGCAGGAGGCACATCAGTAAGAAATAGGTAGGTGATTAGGGCTTCCAAACTTTTCTAATACTCCCAATGGGATATCTAAAGAGTACAGTACATTTAGATTTCTGAGAAATTGCTTTCTTCCTACTGATAATGTGTCCCTGAGTAAATAAAAGCCCCTGTGGGTACCTAGCTTAACACCCAACTGTGGCCACCTGCCAGGGGCCCTAACACACAAGGTCTCTTCTACTGGATGCTACAGGTCTCACGGGACTGGGTGCCAGCTTCCGAGCTGGGTGCGGGGCAGCCTCGCTTGGACTTCAGGCCCTCGCTGGGGCCACTGGCCCACTGTCTCTTACGGAGCTTACTGGCCAAGAGAGGTCTGGCTGAAGGGTCTTGGAGGATGGTGCCTGAATCCGAGGGGGCTTTGCTGAGCCACCTTCACCTGCAAAACAAGCATCTTTGTCAGAGGCTTCAATCACATTGACATTCCTACAGCGAATTTGTAATCAAACTTGAAGTCAGATTCTTCTTCCCCACGTCTTGTACACAGTGTTACCCTTTCTTCTTACCTAAGGACAGGTCCTACCTAAGAGCTAGGAAGACACCTGTCACGACCCCTGACGAGGCACCTTGCAAACCTTCCTTGACACCTCTGATGGCCAGAGACCTCCCCGCAAGGCCAGTGTTTCACTGTCACACCAGACGGAAGCTCTTTCAGGGCAAGGACTTGGCCTCGTTACCTTTGTGTCCCCTGAGTACCTAGCAAACTTTCAACATACACCTAAGAGAGAACCCAAACCAGCTTCCATTTATCTTACTGGAGCTGCCACTGTCATTCAAATGAATGTAACCCAAATGAGTGACACCACCTTCATGGGATGTAAGCCTTCTTTACAATATTGACAAGACCTCACACCTGCCTTCCTGTAACATATTAATCATACTCAGGTCATCTTTATGTGATTTCCAGTTCAGATCTGCATGATAGCAGAGGGCACCAATATAATACAAGTCAGGGGAAGTACATCCCCTTTCTGATGGCCTGCCTTTAAGGAGAAAAAAGGAACTCAGGAAATGTAAGGTTTTAAGAAGCAGATGTGAGTCAAGACTTTCTTGGAGGTTTACATATTAGTGAAAGAAGACAGCGGTCAGAAGAGAAAGAGGAACAAGACAGATGAAGTATGCAAAGGCTTCACTTAGCCAAAGGTAAAGGTAACAGTTTTGCAGAGATTGCAGGAAGAAGATCTTTGAAACCAAACCAGATGGAACACAGAGAAACAGAGGACAGACTCTCACAAGGGCAATGTATGTTCAGTCCTGGCCCTGAGAGGCAGCACTGTGACAGGTCACTTCCTGAGCCAGTGCCTGCCAATGACCTCCTTGTGAAGCTACAAGAAGAAAGAATGGCAATTATTTCCCCATTTATATTCTTTCCATAGGAAGTATGCAGTTTTAAAAGGCAGCTCAATACTTCTCATAAGAGAAAACACAGCACATCTGGACAACAGATTATACACCTGGAAAGCCTGCCTGTACCTCAGACCACCTGCAGGACACTTAAAAGGGGCAGCAGCCCTGAAGGGTCAGGATGAGGACTGAATGGCAAATTAACATATGTGGAACATTGATGAGACAAACACATTTACTAGTACTCTTTCTTTTGTTTTAGAGTGGAAAGTGATATAAAGGACAGGCATTTCCCTTGAACCGCTCAGAGTCTGGGGATTCAAATTTTTAGGTTCACCATAAAAAAAGAGAGAGTGAGAGATATCACACTGAGAAAGAGAATTTGAGCTAGCAAAACTCTTTCTTCACCCTAATTCAATAGTCAAAGTATATCCCTGGACTTCCCTTGCCTCTAGATTCAATTTCTCTTATATGAATTGAGGAAATTACATTGGTGACCTGGGTTTAAACTATGGATGTGACTCTGAGGCTGGTTGCTTATGCTCAGACCTGTTGATAACAAGGTGAGGTCAAATTCAGCAGGTCCTTAAACTCTCAAGTTCACCCAAACCCTGTCTTACAAATATGTCAGTGTTCACAGTGGGGAGAGGGCAAGGATATGGATGGCTGTGTGAAAATGAACCTTATTAGTAGGGAAAAAGCACAAAGTCCCACAGAACTGCTGACTGACAGATGCTCTGGTCGATCAGGGACCCCATGGTGTTTCTGGCCAAAAAATGTCAGACATCAAAGATGGAAACAAATAATGAAAATGCATCAATACCAAGGTGGATGGCAGGCAGCCAAACGGACTGAGCAAAACAAAGATTATTCCTTGCATAGAAAGACAGGGTTCTGGTACTGAAGGGAGAAGCGAGAGACAGGTACTAACTGCATTGATCACGAAAGCCTTCCGCATGGCCTTTGCCAATGAGCTAAAATATTCCTGTGCTCATGTATGTGCCCAGCTTGCAGCTTTAGAATATATATTAAAATAAGTTAAGCTTTAAGAAATTAAGGTGTTATATAAAGTGGTGAAATGTGTTACTGATTAATTGCTAAGATTAGGAGCTAAAAGCTTGCACAATAATATGCAATAGATAGCTACTTCCTATTATGTCTGTGTCTTATTTTCTGCAGAACAATTACAAAGCAAATATGTCCTAAGAACTGAATTTTGATTGCTTTCACATATGCCACATGTACACACCCAACTGTATAAAAATAAAGAACTCAAGAGCCAGCAGAGATGCCTGGCTGTTGAGCTTTGAACAGCACCTCTCGTGTCATTCCTCTGCCGACGCCGTCCCTCCATTGGGAATCCCTGGACCTGCTGAAGCTGGACACTGGCAAGGAGCTACCCCAGGATATTCTCTTCAGTGTTTTGTTGTTCCGAGAGTCCAAAAGTGAAATGTAAATGGGAGGAAGGTAGGGAGGCTGGTAAGGATGGGGGGGATAGATAATAGAGGGAGAAATGTTGCACAAAATGGTAGTATATTTCTAACACAAGTAATGGACGATCGACTACAATGAGTGAAAGAAAATGTTGGCCTTTCCTCCTCACTCTTGAATTAAAAAGATTGTTTTGTAGTGTAAGTTATGGAGAAACGTATTAGTAGATATAAATTCCATAATACATAAAAGTCTTATACATCAACAAACTAGTTCACAAATATGCACTTGCTTTGATTCAGCTAATCACCAATCTCACTGTAGTTTGCTTTCCAAAAAATCACAAGAGTCTTTAAATTCTTGATGCTATTCCAGCAGCATCCAACTATATTTCTGGGATCCCTAGTTTGCAAAAACTGGGAGAAAAGCAAGACTGTGGCACCAAGAGAGAGCAGGTGTTCACTCTGGGCATTAAATATTTGAGTCTTCCTTTCCTCATCCTGTTATGAATGTACTTATAGTCAGAGTTCAATAAAGTGAGAAAGTAAAATGTGAATGTTCAACACAATGCACACACTATGTGTACATAAATGACAGTGGAAGGTGGTAGATTATTGAAATGCTACCAGATTTATTGGGTAAATATTCTCTATGGTTAACTAATGTTTACTAGGCTGTTGGCAAGAAACAGAGATCATGAAAATACTAATCCTCAAAAAAGCAAAACAGAGAAATGCATAAACATCTCCTTACTTTCGACATCCAGTGAAATGTGTTCTTTTGGCAGAAAGTAAAGGAGGAAGAAAACCTGAAGAATGGACAGTATGGGGAGAGGAGAAAGTACCAAATTACCATGACCAAGGCCTGTGCCAAAATGAAAAGTCCCTCTTCCAATCCTTCAGTGCTAATGCCTGAAACTTTCTTCCAAGCCCTTTGAATTCTGTGGAACAAGGCCACTCCCCATCATACTGTCTAAGTGTCCTTCTGGGTCAAGGGCCAGGTTGCAGCTGGATCACTTAATGTGTATCCTCATGGCTGCTCACCACCAACCCTTTGTACTTCATGGACAGGAACCACAGTCTTTCAAGGGCTCCCAAGTTAGAGGGTGCAGTGTCAAACACTCGCCCAGAGAACCCTGTCATTTCCTGGATTTCCAAGTGTAGAGACTTGTTCACAGGAGGTACCTTTTGTGATCTGCTGCCAGCAGATGTTGGTTGGGAGGTCCCAGCATGGCTCTCTTTGCAGATATTTAGGAGGGAGCGTGTTAACTTCTGAGCGGCAAGGCGTGGGCTGCTCCTGCTTGCCATGGTTGTACTTCGCAGGAGGTAGGGGCTTGTCTTTCCTGTTGGGATGGCAGCAGGCCCTAGAAACAAAAAAGCTGCCTATCAGCACTGCTAGGTCCAGTTCTATCTACAATGAACATGATATGCATGAGGTCAATTTTTAACAAAGACAAGTAGAATTCCAAAAATGCTTTCTGTTAGCCACAGAGGGTAAGGATAAACTTCAGAGTCGCCCTGGGAGTTGTCAAAGAGAATAAATAACTAAGATGTTTTCCCTTATGAGAAACATAAAAGAAGTCACAGTGGAAAAATAATATCAAACAGGAAAATGTTCCTGCTTCCTTATGGGGTCATGTTAACTTGTGTTTTACTAAGATCTGAAGAACACACCAAGCAAACTGCCCTGAAAATTTAGATGGGGAGAAGTAGAATGAGAAGAGAAAACAACCACCCCACCACCAAAAAAAGAAAAAGAAAAGAAAAAAAGAACAGAAAGGCTAGTTCTTGTTTACAGGAGAAAATGTAAAATGCCAAGAGCTCCTTTGGGTGACCACTGTCATGCAGAGACTCGGAGGGGCAGAGATCTCACCTCCCTAAGACTAATGCCAGTTTCACTCTCTTCATACACCACCCTCCTTCCACAGAACTGACCTGACTTGTGGTGACCAAAAGGAGAATGTCAATGCCATGCACCTTAAAAAGACAGGGTATCACACACACCCCAGAGCTGCATTAATGGCTAACTGAAGCAACATTGGGTTGTTTTGGTTTTTAACCCTTGAACTACAAAGAAAACACAGCAATGAGAAAAAAATGGCTCCCTTATGGGGGGCTGGATTTCTTAAGGGATAGAGTTACTCAGAACAGTGGTTATCAAACCATCTATGGCAAAGGATCAGCTTTGATCACTTTCTGGAGAGGAGGGAATGGGGTAATTTCTCATCTGCTATGGAAGGGTAGTTTTGTATAACACAGGAAGAATGAATCCATTGGAAAATGGTCACGTGCTGGGATGTTGAGATAATGTCATATTGCTATGAATATTTTGAAGTCTTAGTGTTGGTTTCTGGACATTTTTTGGGGTGTGGGAGGTGATGAGCCAGTAAAAACCATTCCCTGTCCTTGGGCCACTCTTCAAGGACCACTGGGGCTTGGAAAAAGTGCTGTGTGGCTTCAGCCAGGGGACCATATCATCAGACCCCTCCTCCAGTTCACCTACTACCTGAGTCATATGTGACTACAGACAGGAAAGCTTAAAGGGTGTCCTAGACTTGGGGATTTTTCAGCACAGGAATATCAAATGCAAAAGAGCATTTTAACACTCATTTTGCAAAGCTACCAGCACCTTGTGTAGTGTGACATGGGTTACTGGATCCTATTCTGTCTCTCATGACAGAAAGGAAAATATACATCTTAAAAGGTAATTCTTACAATAACTCCTACAATGGCATTGTCAACACAAACCCCATGCTCCTATCTTTTTTTGCATGTGAAATTCCATGTAAACTTTCAAAACAACACAGGCCACTTTGTTTTAAATTATGCCTCACCTTCCTTTCCAACTTCTGCAAGTCCCTGGGGCTCAAGCTCAGTGTCTTCCACATCCTCTGCAGGGGGTGTGCCCCTTTTGGCTGCCTTCCGGCTTCTTTTAGGAAACGTGTGTGGTGTGGAAGGTGCTGTTCCTCCCTTGTTCTCCCGAATCCCACTGCACCTTTGCCTCTTACTTGAAGCTTTCGTTTGGCTGGATGATCCCTTCGTTTCAGTAACACAAGGGACTGGAAGTGACTCTGGATCAACTGACTTCAGCAAAGGGGAAATCTCGATATTGGGTGGAGATTGTTGTGAAGTCAGATGAGCCACTTGGGCTTCTGAAATCTCTTTATCTCTCTCCAGCTTTTTGTGGCTTGTGAGCAGGGAACAGTACTTATTCAAGTACTCTTCTGCCTCCTTGCTTTTTTTCTTCAAGGGTGGCTTTCAATTCTTTCACCTTGGTCATCAGTTCATCTGCGTGAGCATCCACAAGAGCACCTGTCAAAAATCACAGCATGACACTCTTTAATTGCCTTTGGAAATCATAAAGCAGCAAACCTGAAATTTGTTTTTAATATCTTTTTGTTTATAGAAGTGGAGAAGGTATGTCTATGCATGTTCTTACATTTCTCACAGCCTTTGATTTGGGAGGGATCATATCAGGGTAAATACTCTACTACATTATATAAGTCTTACTAGGTGAGCTTAAATAAAACCCCACAAAATCTCACGCTGGTATTGCACCTAACCCATGAAACTTTCTTATAGTTGTTCATATGACATCAAATAGATTAATTTTGCACGTCTCTAGGTTCTCTGTCCATGCTTCCCACTCACTTGAATGAACAACATAAGTCATTCCAGAATATGAAGTCTGCTCCTTTGTAATGGCTTTGGGAGGCAGAAAGGGGCCAGGGACTTAGCAGGTCCACAAAAGCTCTGATAAAACATTTCTAAGCAATGAAGGGTCTGGTGGACAAAAGTTTCAGGGACACTAACGGTGGGAGTCTTGTTCAACTTTTAGCTGCTGTGGTTGGCAGGAAATGCATTAGAAAAACTCCCTGGAGCCCCATATACTCCAAGGTCTCTTCTGGGTAGGAAAGACCACTGGACCACCCTGATGAGCCTTGGTCCAGAAGAGCCACTGCTACAATGCTTATCATCATCTCTCCACATAGTAAGAAGCATTCCACTGGGGAATAAGTGGAGAAAAGTTGTCTTTTCACTTTTATTTTATCTCCACACCTCAAAATAGAGCCCCCCAACCCTCCCATGTAGTTGACCCAGGAGGATGGGCCAGGGACAACCAGAAAGCGGTGTCTGCAACCTGACAGTGCCAGCTCAGATGGCACTCTGTCTGTCATGCTGATCTAGGTCAATGGACATCATGTGGAAAACTCTTCCTGAAATTCCCATTAGCAAAAAGGACTGCCAGGTTTTTTTTGTATGTTTGATGGAAGAGAACATGTGATTATTCTATGTCAAAATACAGGCTTCCCTCAGATTCCTATGAATGATCCCACACTGAGTACAAAAATGGGAAATTGGAAAATAGACAACTGCCAAGAATCAGCACTCAGTAGGACAGTGGGACACAGAGACACTGCCTGTGTCCACACCAGCCCTTGCCAGCCTCATACAGGGCCCTGCCCAGGGCCTTGCCTAGTTCACCCCACCTGGTTTCTGCTTCTCTGGTGCAGCTTCTTCACGCTCACACAGCTTTTTCTGCAACTCTTCCATCTCCTCTTCCATCAGCTTATAGTGTCTGAGACAAAAATCGATCTTTCTCTGGGCACCTTCCTTTTCCTTCTTCAGCTGCTTTATGTGTGTTTGATTGTTTATCTGCAAAACAGAAAGTTGTATTTGGAACCTGCCATTTTTTTTATTAGCACATAGAAAGATCATTATGAGCCCTGGCTGGTGTTGCTCAGTGTGTTGAACGCTGATCTGTGAACCAAAAGGTTGCTAATTAGGCTTCTGGTTGGCCTCATGCCTGTACTGCAGGCCAAGTCCCTGGTTGGGGGCCTCCAAGAGGTAACAAATCCATGTTTCTCTGACACTGCAGGTCAATGTTTCTCTCCCTGTCTTTCTCCCTCCCTTCCTTTCTCTCTAAAAAAAGAAGAAAAAATTAAGAAATGTCAAGTAAAACAAAGCAAATCATCATTGAGATATACTTAACACACTGTATGCGGGAAATATATTTATACGTTTTATGTTGACTGGTTGTAGAGTGAGCGATAAAAACTACCTACAAACAATGTGTTAAGAATCATATATTGTCAATATAAGAATCATTATGTTCACACTAAAACATCTAATTAAGAATAAAACAATTCACCTTTTCTATTCAGTTTCCTAAGTCTCCCTGGTAGACACTGGTTTTCTGACTCCCCTTCTTGGCATCCACAAACACAAAGCATCATTCCTAAGAGTATGCTGTTTAAGTGGCTCTCTCTGCCTGTGTTTATCCAATGGCAATCATAACTAGGAGGGTGGGGATAGGAGTCCGTGGACTTATTCTTTGTGGGTCAAAATTTCTGAGAATTATGTTTTCATCTGTAATCTTGTGCTGATATGGAATCATAATCCCTAAGATAGCATCTGTTCTAGTCACACCAGGTGAAGACTAAACACTATTATGGCTCACAATACCAATTTAAATTCTGTATGTAGCTCAACTAGAAAGTGGGTAGAAAGGTGGGAGAATTCATGTTTCCTTAAGCAAAAAGAAAAGCACTGCAAATGTTTGAGAGGCAAAATTGGACCTGATATCATGGTATTTAGAGTGTGTATTTATGCTACCTTGTCAGAATATTCACATATTTTGGTAGAGAAATATGAACTGGTAGGAAGTATTACCCTACCTCCTGCTAGAGTATTCCATAATATGTGGCACTTGCACTGTTTGATGTAGCATCTAAAGATGCAGAATTCTGAAACCACTTAGCTCTAAGGGATTCTAGTAGAAGATCATGAATATATAAAAGCTCACCAAACTATGAAAACCAAAACAAAACGTCAGCTCCATATTCATGTTATTAGTGATTTCATCCTATGTAAATTTCATCCTGACATCATAAGCAATGTTCCAAAATTGTCTTCACTTGTGAAATTTTCTATTTCTGATTCCATCCATAATTGCATTACTGATAGATTAAGTCAATGGCAAGAATGCTTGTCAAGTATACCTCATTAAAATCACATGTGGTCTGAATAGACTCAACAATGGACCATTCTGTACATGGTGTGAATACCAATAGACATTCCCCACAGTAAAACTGTCAAAGAGTACAAAGGCACAAAGTGTGTAAGAAATAGGCCCGAAGCTACATCCTTCTGTTATGAAACCTATTATCTTTCAAGGAACACAACACCATTGATCATTCATGTTATTAGGAATTTTATGAGTGTCTGTTATATTGGTATATTTCCTTTCTCTTGATTATTGTAGAGGAGAAATAAACCTCAGGAGTTGATACCTCATTTTCTGATTGAATATATTCAATAAACAATACTATAATTTTTAAAAAAATGAAACCCTCTTTCACTAAAGACCTTTACTGGAAGATATTTGTTTTCCAGGTTCATTATTGTACTTTCTAGATGGCAGTCATTTTATAAAAACATCTGTGTAGGAATCAAAGAGCCTCCTTTCCAAGGAGAATTACAGAAGTGCCATCTCCAGCCTCAGATTCCTGAGACTAGTGACCACCTCCTTTTGTTTCTAGCCAAGAAAGAGAGGAAAAGGAGAATAGACATATCCATGTGCCAAGTGCCTGACCAAATGTTTTGCCACACCTTGACCTTCCTGGAAGCCAGAGGAAAGTAAGTGGGTTTGGTGACAGCAGGGAACTGGGACACCCATCAAGCAAGAGTTTGCAATTACCCACCAAAGTGTTACCTATAGCTGAGAGGCCTGCCCCAATTTGTTATTGCTTTAATCTTCATGTCCATCTCCAGAAGTCTTTAACATTCTCTAGTTTGAGGATTCACTGAGCAATGAAGTTCATTCAAGCCATGAGTCTATAGGCCATCCACTGATTTTAAAAAGAGCTCAGAAGAATTCCTGAGTGATATTATTCATAACTGCACAACACTTTTTCAGAAAAATTCAAATGAAATCTCTCATGTCAATCCCATTAAAATCACAGTTCTTCTGTATATACTCTTGTCAGTCACAAGACAATGAGAAGGAAACATACCTTGGTTTTTATCAATTCTCCTAAAAGCTCAGTGTTTTCTTTCAAAGAATTACTGAGCTGTTCTTTGCTGGACTTCAAGAGGTCTATCTCCACCTTCTGTGAGCTGAGACATTCTTCTGTAGAAGTGAGTTTCTCTCTATATGTCTGGATTTCCGCTTCATGCTAGGGCAGAAAAATGCTATTTCAGCAAAACAAACCCCAAAGAAAACTGCTGTTCCAAGGACCATTTCAAATGGACTCTGCCACTCTCCTACTACTCTACTCTGAGATGCAAATGTAGTTTCACAGCTGCAGTTGTCTAATGAGGTTTGTGTGGTGAACTGGGAGAAAGATCATGCAGCTCATATGAGGGCAGCCTTCCTAAAACCTTAAGAGCATAGTAATAATGCAGAAGTTTGAGCTTCTTGCAAAACAAGTGTGTTCTTTTTTTAATTTTTTTAAAAATCTTTTTTAAATCATTGTTCAAATACAGTTTTCTCCTTTTTACTCCCAATCCATTCCCCCCCTCCCACCCCTCCCCACTTCCCTCCCATTACCACCCTCCCCTTAGTTTATGACCGTGTGTCCTTTAAGTTTGTTCCTGTGAACCCTTCCCACTGTCCCCCTTAAATTCCCTCTACTCTCCCCTGTGGTCATTGTCAGCCTGTCCTCTATTTCAGTGTCTTTGGTTACATTTTGTTTGTTTCTTTGTTTCGTTGTTTAGGTTCCTGTTAAAGGTGAGATCATATGTTATTTGTCTTTCACTGCCTGGCTTATTTCGCTTAGCATAATGCTTTCCAGTTCCATCCATGCTGTTGCAAAGGGTAGGAGCTCCTTCTTTCTTTCTGCTGCATAGAATTCCATTGTGTAAATGTACCACAGTTTTTTGATCCATTCATTTACTGAATGGATCCTTGGTTGCTTCCAGCATCTAGCTATTGTAAATTGGGCTGCTATGAACATTGGGATGCATAGGTTCTTTTGAATTGGTGTTTTAGTATTCTTAGGATAAAGTCCCAGCAGTGGAATTGCAGGGTCAAAAGGCAGATCCATTTTTTAGTTTTCTGAGGAACTTCCATACTGCTTTCCATAGTGGTTGTACCAGTCTGCAGTCCCACCAGAAGTGCACTAGGGATCCCTTTTCTCCACAACCTCTCCAACACTTGTTGTTAAAAACAAGTGTGTTCTTAGCATGGTCTACACACAGTCTCCAGCTCCCCCAAGGTACCAAACTCTACTTTTCACCTGTTTGTTTGTATCCAGAAGCAAAGTTTGGTGTCTCTTTTCAGCCTTCTCAAGCTGTCTCTGATATTCAGCTATTTCTTCTCTCATTTTCTCCTGATTTTCCATCTGATGTTTGTGTATGCGGTCCAAGCTCCTCTTCAAGTCACCATTTTCTAGCACCAATGCCTTCAGTTGGGCCTAATGAGAAAATTAATACAGTCATGGGAAAACAATTAAGAACCTTGATACATGTCTTCAGGAAATACTGAGTACTAAGGAGCAAAAACTACTTCACGAGAAAAACAAAAATCTATACAGAATAGTAGAACGATCCTTAGCAATGCATTCACTTCCAATTGCAACCTCATCTCCTCTGACAATTTCCTCAGTTCTACCCAGCCACCCCCAAGGTCACATCCACAGGACCACAAAACCTCAGAAGCCTGACTTTAGTTGGTCAACTCTGGGACTCTACCCTCCTAGGCTATGGGGCTAGCTTCTTTGAGTGTTTCTATGGCAATACTTCTTTGACCTCATCAACAGCACCACCATTACAACCTTCACACTCGAACCCTCCAGAGTGACACTTTCTTCCTTGACCAGCTCAGAGGCCGAGTTTTATCACTGTAACAATTTCTTTCCAAGTGCCCTCAATTCTCCCCCAACCGTCCTTGTCTTTGCAGGACATGCAAAACCCCACACCTAGAGACATCTGCCTTCCCTGTGCCAGATCCCACACAGCTGCTTCTACCCGTGCATGTATACACACGGACCAAGCCCCCCTCCTCATCTCCCATTCACTCAACCCACTCCAACTAGCCCTCACCACAGCTCCTCCTGTACCAACTCCTCCTCAATCAGCTCCATGCTGTCATATACCTCTATGATGTAGATCCCAGGAGCACTATTCAGCCCTTGATCACTCATTTGACCTCTGAGTAGGTCCACAGGCTGCTGATCACTCCTTCATCTTGAGAGAACCTCTTCCTTGGCTGCTAGGACATGGCATTCCCCTGTGTGGCCACATCCAACCTTCTCAGTGTCTTTGCTTGTTCTTCTCTCACCTCTCCCCCTACATGCTGGAGGTCCAATGGCTTGGTCTGTATTTTCTACCACCCACATCATCTTCAATTATGATCTGTTTTCTAAACTAGCCAAATGCATATAGCCACTCCAAACCTTTCCTTTAAACTGCAGCCTTGTTTATTTTGCATCAATTCAGATTTTATTCTAACACTTCTACCATGGCCTTCCTTCTTCTCCCATTCTTTTTCATATCATTTTCCATTTCATTCCAGCCACAAGGGCTTCCTTTTCATTTTCTAAAAAAGGACAAAAATCTTTCTTATGTCAAAGACATTACCACATTTCTCTCTACACCCAGAAGCTTCCAAGCTCCAGCCAGTTCTTTGTGGTGCTGACACCCCTTCCTACAGGAAACATTCTCTGACTACCCCATCTACACTGGGTTAATGCATACCCTGCTCAACAATTCCCAATTATTCTGCAATAAGCAATCTCATTTGTATCCTTTGTAGCACTTAGCAGTTTATGAGTGTTTTGTGCTTCCTATTGTGTGCTTAGACTGTAAGCTCTCTGAGTACAAGAAGCACTGGAGAGCTTTGGTTCAACCTTCTACAGCCTAACCCTGGCAATGCTTATTGTTTACAGAATGAATAAATTAATGAATGAAGTCACTGGAAGCTCACATGCTCCGATGTATAACCTTGAGGCTAGACATTCAGCTTTTCTTTTTACTAGGGCCTACAAATGAAGTACAATCAAGAGCATCTTTGGGACAGCCCCAAGTGGCTGAGTACTAGAGGAGATTTCAGCAGATGCTACATTCAATGTATCATCGGTAGCAACTCCCTTCACGCAGGATTGCCAAAAAACTACTCATGACAATTTCTGAGATTAAATGCACAACTTCACATTTTCTAAAATATTGATTTGAGAAAGAGAGAGAAAAATATCAATTTGCTGTTTGCCCATCCATGTATTCCTTGGTGATTCTTGTATGTACCCTGACCAGGGATTGAATCCATGACCTTGGCTTGTCAGGATGACTCTCTTACTAGCTGAGCTACCTGGCCAGGACAAATGCCAGCATTTGTAAATTTTCCTCAGATGCCATAATGTATTTGAAGAAAAGTACAAATTTCCACAGCTTCTTCTACATGCCACTACAAATATCATTTCAACCTTTTTTGTCCTTATTCCAGGGTCAGAGTCACAACTCTATGTGCCGCCCTTTGGTAAGGATTCTGTTGGAGGGAAGCTGCATGAGGATAGGATGGTTATTGGAATGTTTACCATGTAACTGGGTGTGGCAAACAGGTTTCACTGCCCCTAGCAACACTGCATTCAGGTGGCAGCTCCTGGGACTCAGTGTTGAGTTTCAGGAGAATGGGAGGCAATAGAAATCAGCAAAATCTGCTATGGGAACAGCAGTGGGGAGAGGGAGCCCAGATGCTACACATCTTCCCCATGAACCTCTTCTAAAACAGCACCCAGGACTGCCCTAAACTCTACATTTTAGTGGAGCTTTCTTTCTGATACTTTGTTTGTTCCCAGCAAGATCAGTGCATCTGCCTGTAGCACCGTTCTGGCTGGCAGTCTCTGGCAGGCTAGGAAAGCAGCCTATTGAAATCGGAATGAAATCTACTTCTGAAGTGACTTTGTAGAGTACAGGGTCCTCATCTACAGAAAAATGGTTGGGCTCCAAGACAGGTAAGGTCCTGTGCTCTGAGGCTGCTTAAGGCTCCATCTGTGGCCACAACAGTGCTGGCTCACGAAGATCGCTGCTTGTCTGATCCTGACAGGAGCGCTCCAGTGATTTTTCTCAAAAGCTCAGTAACGTTTGGTACAGTACAGAAGGTCTTACAGAAACACACAAGGAGAGTGTGCACACTGAATTACTTGTCTGTCACAGACGGACTTACTTCTTTGGGCTTCATTTCTTCCAACATTACATTTAATTCTTCAGTTAGCCTATGTTTCTCCCCAATGAATTCTTCTTTCAAGTCTGTCATTTTCTGGGTTATCTCGTGCACTTTCCTCTTCAGCTCTGTTTCCCTCAAAGTCAAGGAGTTTACCTGAAATTGAATCATTCGTTAGAGCTGCTTTTGCTTGTGCATGTTGACCAAATGAGCATGTTGTATCCCTGTGATACAACAGTCGTGACCACTTCACTTCAGGCTCATGAGAAAATGCACCATGTCTAACCCTCCCTTCACTCATCACTCAACCAACATGCTCAGGTCTCACTGGTGACCTTCCCTTTGTTTGCAGCAATGATTCAAGAAAGGACAGCAATAGGGGAAAGAATGACAAGGAAAGATAACATTACTAAGGATCAAAACCCTGCATATAGGCATGAATTTGAATTCAACTCAAACATCAGAGACTATGGTATGATGCAGCATCTTAGATTTTTATCATTTCTTGGACCTCTACTAACCCTGCAATGCCATACTCAGAGGCAAGACACATGGCTATGATGAGTTAGAGCAAACTGACTCTACTGCTTGCATTTGTCCCTTCACATTGAAACAGTGGGGTGTAGTTTTTCTCATCATTTCCACCCAAACGGCCATCTCTTGCAAGCCATCCAAAAACTCAACACACTTGAAAATAGAGTTCTGACTGATTGCATTTTTCTGGGCACAAGTTTTTTCCTGTAACATTTGTGCAGTAAAAAAGAGTTTGGAAGGAATCAGTTTCTTTGATCATTAAGCAAGCATGGAGGGCAAGTACTTATTTCCATAACAGGGGAACCACTTCATGGTGGACCTTCCCGTTAATCATCAGCGAACAAAACAGGAGCCTGCAGGGGGGAAAAGGTGCAACAGAGGGGCTGAAAACACAGAATGCCCAACACACACACTGGGAGCCATGAGGGTTCTGTTGGTGACAATTCGATCACCCTTTTTAATACTTCTTTCTCCTAAAGCCTATCAAGGCTCAACAAGGACAAAAGGGGATGCCTTCTGATCCTAACTAGTACCTGGTACACCCTCTGCAGCAGTGGTTCTCACCTGGGCATGGGGAGGCTACTATTCTGATGCACTGTGTGAAAAGGAAGTGTATTGGAGCCAGGAACTGTACATAACCCAGAGCTTCTCCCATGTCCAGGTGTCACACTGACTACCTGGGCAAGTCCAGTCCATAGAAGAGTCCCATGCAAATGAGTGCCAAAGCAAAGAAAGACTCACTACTACTGCAGGCAAGTCAATGTCCCCCAAGTTCAAGACCCCATACGATGGGGTCATATGCTTCATCAAGCCTTTACAAAGTTTGGTCCAACATTGCAAATTCACTTGTGAAGGAAATACAACTCACCAGTGGTTTCCCTCACTACTGGCAACATATAGAGACGTAGGAAAAGCCACTTACTCTTTCCACATAGGACTGCTTTTCCATTTTTATCGATTCCAGGTCTTTCTGCAGGTGCCTGGAGGAGTTCTGCAGCACTTTGTAGGTGTCCTGCAAAGTGTGGTTTTTGGACTGCAGACTTCGGATCTTCTGCTCCAATTGCACAGTCAGACCCTCCAGTTCTTTCTGCTTCTTTAGAAGTTGGGGCTCTCCTCCTTGCTGGGACAACTTAGAGACCTGCTGTGCTGGGTCCTGGATTTGATGTTTTAAGACGCTTATCTCTTGCTCCCTCCTCTTTAGTTTGTCTTTGCTGTCTTCTAATTCTTGAACCAGGCCATTCACAGAAGATAGCAACATACTGGAATGACCTCTGGCCTGGTCAAGGCCTTGCAGCAGCTGACATTTCTCAAGCTGCAGATAAGCTACTTGAGCACTCAGGCCTTGTTCTCTGGCCTTGCAGGTCCCATGGCCATCACCCAGGGAGGGCCGTTTGTCCTTCAGGTCTTTTATTTGCGCTTGAAGCCGCTCCTGGACAGCTTTACATTCTTGTTTCACACGAACGATTTCCTGCTCTTTTTCTCGTGATCGATTGTCAAAGGAAGCTTTTAACTGCTCTAATTCACATACGCGTCCTTGCGCTTTTTTGTAATTCTTTGGTCAGTTTTTCTTTTTCTGACCTGAGATCTTTCAGACTTGGGGCCATCTCCTCTAACTTGGCTTTCAACTTCTCTACCTCTGCTTTGGAGCCCTGTGCCTCCCGAGTCGCCCGCTCATGGGGGTTTTTTTGGCCTTTTTCAGTTCTTTTTCAAGTTGATCGACTTCCCCCTTAAACGACTCTGCTTGATGCTTAGTTTCCTGCAGTTTTGCTAAGACGAAGAATTGTTTCTTGTCATCGTCTTCTAGTTGGTCTTTCAGCTTTTTGATGCTCTTGTGCAGCTGTTGCACTCTCTGCATAGGGGAGCTCTCTTCTGGGAACTTCCTGGCTTGTGAGTCATCACACAGAGCTGCCACCTCCTTCATCAGCTCTTTTAATTCTTTTTCCAGCATTTCCCCTTCAGCTTTGGACTCTTCTTGCCTGTGCCGATTTTCTTCCTCCTTTGCCTCTAACAGCTGTAGCAGTGAAGAACGCGATGTGTCCAACTCTGTCACTTGACCCTGTTTTTCTCGCAGCTGCTGGGTCAGATTTTCTTTTTTCGGACCGGATTCTGATGAGGTCCAATTCTGAAGCTGTCAGGTGTTTTTTCATGGATTGTAGTTGAGTTTTTAGGGTCTCCACCTCTGCTTTGGAATGCTCAGCATGAAGAATTGTCGCCTCATGGCTTTTTCCAGCCATTTGCACCTGGCTTGAAAGATTGTCCTCCTTATTGTCAGTTGCTTTCATTTCCTCCAAGTGTTTGCTCTTGTCAGCCTCTATGCTGACCCTCAGGTCATTTATCTTCAGATGCTCCTGGTCCTGGGTTGAGCTCAGCCTCATGGCCACCTCACCTTTCTGCATTCCTGTAGCCTCCAAGCTTTTAGTGACAGTCAGATCTTCTTGTTGCAGTTCACAGCCCTTGTTCTGCAGGCTTTCAGATTCCCTTACAAGGGATACTTTCTTGTGATTCGTCTGTTCGTTTTGGTTTTCCTGCTGATTTCTTCCCAGAGACAGGGCCTGTAAATCCTTTATCAAGCTCTGTAGGTGCTCCTGGAGGTGGGCTTTCTCTTTGAAAGACTGCTCCTGAGGACCTTCTCCCACCAGATCGACTGCCGCTGTCTTGGTGACTCTCTCAGTCTTTTGGCTTAGGTCCTGCTGGACATCTCTGTCGCACATCAGATGAAGATCTTTGCTTTCCCAAGCACGTTCACCTGATCTGTGTGTGTCACAGTGGTCGCTTTTGATCTGGAGAGCCTATGGTTGTAATACATAATGAGAATGCATTTTATTTTTGAGGAAGAATCAGAAAAGATCCAATAGGCTTAAGTATTGCTCTCTAGACACTGGCTAAATGCCTCTGCTACACACCTTTTTTCAAATGACATATTTCCGACCACATTCTCCCTTCTCCATCCCAATGTCAACGCAATTAAATAAACATTCAGGAGGCATCCTGTCTGGGCAAGGCACTAACGAGATATTTGTCAGGAAGACACACCCTCTAGTTGTATGATCGTCCACACTGGCACACACTTAAATTTCAAATGGTTTTTCTCTCTAGGAATAGTCCAGGTAGCCATTATACAAATTTTTCTTTGTGATTAACAGACATGAGGCTAACCAATTCCATATAGATTGCTCAGCTTCCATCTTTAGCAGTTCTGATACTCTTCAGTAGGAGAAGGAGGTGAGGTGTCATAACCAGCCCAGGGACTTAAGACTGCACTTACTATCTGGATTCTGAGAGACCATATGTCTGAACATCACCTTCCTGTCATCTGTCAAACAGGGGCCAGCTGCTGTGACTACCCTTACTGCGACTACCACTGCTGCCTCCTCACCACTTGCCATTGGCATCATACAACAGTAGATAAAAAGAATAAAGTGAGAGTCCTCAACTCTATAGCATTAGTAGTTTAGCTGGTGGACTACAGGGACAAAGTCATATGTAAGTAAGGAGGTTCACATTCTATAAAGAAAGAAATGTCTTTTTCAACAACTGATATCAAATCACAGATTTGTATCAGGGGTATATTGTTAGAAAATGATTCGGTAATCTGAAATAAGCTTTTATATTTGTTTGAGGACTATAACCCTAAACTATAAAAAGCCATAAGGAAATAGAGATGTTAACATTCACATCACATTCCCATTTCTAAGCTCTAATGGAATATGTAAGAGCACTTTCTTAACTCATGAAGAATGAAAACATACAACATAGACATTGTGAAAGAGAAATCTGCTGACTCCATAATATAATTTTATCCAGGAGACTTTAGAAAAGATCTTTAGAAAGGTCCCATATTAGAGTGTTTAAATGTAATCACTGTAGAAATTCAGCTCCCCAAAAAGTTGTGGATTGTATATTTAAAAATACTTTAGAGTATACTTTATACCCTTGAAAACCTAAAGTTCTAGATTGTATTTTTTAAAGATTTTATTTATTTATTTTTAGAGAGGGAAAAAGAGAGAGAGAGAAAAACATCAATGTGCAGTTGCTGGGGGTCATGGCCTACAACCCAGGCATGTACCCTGACTGGGAATCAAACCTGTGACACTTTGGTTCGTAGCCCATGCTCAATCCACTGAGCTACACCAGCCAGGTGGATTATATTTTTAAAAATACTTTAGAGTATACTTTATGCCCTTGAAAACCTGTTCTATTCACCAAGAAATTATTCACTTCACACTGCTGCTCAGAAGCAAGAAAACTGCTGCGATGAGCTTCATTTGTCACCAAGGAATTACAAGGGTTAGCAGCTCCCTGAGCCTCTCCTATTCAGAGTGCAACTCTTGGTAACGCTGGTCTTTCTCTTTTTTTAAGATTTTTTAATTTATTTATTTTTAGAGAGGGAAGGGAGGGAGGGAGGGGGAGAGAGAGAGAGAGAGAGAGAGAGAGAGAGGGAGGGAGAGAAACATCAGTGTGCGGTTGCTGGGGGCCATGGCTTGCAACCTAGACATGTGCCCTGACTGGGAATCAAACCTGCAATGCCTGGTTCACAGCCCACACTCAATCCACTGAGCTATGCCAGCCAGGACAATGCTGGTCTTTCTTATTTCACTTGACATTAATTGAAGTTTGTGCTTTATATCTTCAACTTGCTCAGTAAGCTCAGAAACTTTCAAGCACATGCTTTCTGTTTCCCTCCTATGTTTTCTATCTGACAATTCAGCTTTCTGCTGGAATTATACCTGAGCTTCTTTCTGTGTCTCCATCTCCACTGTCTTGCTATGGAGGACACTACAAAGGTTCTTCACCTCCACCCTTAGGCTTCCTCCTTCCATCTCCTGTGTGCTTACTCTCTTATTTTATCCATTGCTTCTTATTTGTTGTTTCTTAAGACACATTTCCATTTGATTGGTTTTACTTAGGAAGATTTCATTCTCCAATTCCATTTCCTTTATGAGTTTTCATTTTCACTTTTCTAGTGACAAAAGTGAGTTTTCTCTTCTTTCCCTTTGTCAAACTTTTTTTTTAAATCTCCAATGCACACAATAAAGCTTCAGACTCTCTCTGTGTTTTGGTTAACTTTTCACTCACTTGTTCAACATGATGTTCCCTTTCCTTGAAAAGGGCTTGAGAACCATCACATTGCTTTTCCAGATCAGCCAAGGCAAGCTTCAGTTTCTCTGAAGTCAAGGAATTCTCTTGTTGATTGATTTTTTCTTGGAGGTCTCTTAATGTGGTTTCTTGAAAAGCATTCTTAGCTATGAAAAATAAAAAAAAGCATTGTGAAGGTTTCAAATATTCATTTCATAAGAATTCTAAACGGAAAAAGAAAATCTAAACACACTAACAACTCCTCAGCCTTGTAAAAATTGGCATTATTGTGCAGACACCTCCTGCAAAGTAGATCACCAGATAATCATTTAAGCTTCCCAAAATACCATGAGAAACATAGTGATTTTAGATGTGCTAATATATTTGTTCATCTTCTTTGTAGGGAGCTTAAGAAAGTGATGTATAAAAAACCAAGAGATTACTTTTCTAAGCAGTTGCAACTTTTTCTTCTTCCTTTGTGTATATGTGGACAGGAATAGCTGTTTTATTGTGTTTTTCAGATGTTGTGAGTTTTACAAATGGAAGGCCAGACCCTCCACCAGCAAAAAGGTCAAAGCTCAATTTATTGTGTGTGATAATTACTTTATTGCAGTGATTGAAACCCACCTGCCCTATCTCTGAGACTTGCCTGTAGTTTTCACCTGTCATGAAATAATTACTCAGTCCTGGCCGGTATAGCTCAGAGGATTGAGTGTGGGCTGTGAACCAAAGGGTCGCCAGTTTGATGCCCACTCAGAACACATGCCTGGATTGTTGGCCAGGTACCCAGTGGGGGCCACTGGAGAGGCACACACACATTGATGTTTCTCTCCCTCTCTTTCTCCCTGCCTTCCCGTCTCACTAAAAATACATAAATAATATCTTAATAAAAGAAATAATTATTGAGAGAGAAAGAACTGACAAAAGCAGCCCTGAAGTGGAAATACTCCCTGCACTGGGGAGAAATCCTGATTTCCCAGAATAACCTTGGAACTGCTCCACCATTTTCTCCACAATCCATGGGTTCTGTACCAAAGAGGAAAAGATGCTTTACATTGGTACCTTTTAGGACCACTATAAAGGTATCACTCATGTCCCACATCCTCACAGGAAAACTAGTGTCTATGAATCCAAGAATCATCTGGGAGCTTTTTCAAACTTTGTTACCACCTTGTTTTCTGCCCAGCAACACACCTGTACCTCCTGGCCCCACCCAGTTGAGAATAACCTCAATGTTTTCATTCAACAGTGATAGGCATCCTTTCAACTCCCCAAATAAATTGAGGAGAAAAGACATTCTCCATAATAGATGATGAAGGAAGAATGTATTCTAAATGCAGGGGTGACAATAAGTGGAAACCAGTTCCTATTCTGACCCACTAATCTCAGTCTACCTACTGAGGAATGGCTCTCCACAGGCCACAAGGGCTATCAGTCTCCTCTGCTTATGGGGACCTGAGAAAATGACCCTGGTGGCCAACAATGGAAACTGCCCAAACATTCACTTTTCTATTGGTTTTCTTTCATGAAAGGCTGACATTTCTACCCACTACTGTTGAAAAACTGAATGCTGTTTGGGGGACTTGGGAATTGCAAAAAGAAAACAGTCACAGAGAAGTGTGACCCATAGTTCCATGATCCACAGGGTCCAGTTCAGAGAAATCCTGGATGTGCAAATACCCAAGCTGACAAAAAGAAATGGAACAAGAAGATATACAGTACACCTAAAAATGGGTAATGAACGGTGTATTCATTTAGTGTGTATAGCATGGTTCTGCGGCTCTACAGTAAGGACAAAATCATTCAGTGAAGTAAGTCATCAAAAACCAATGGTCATTCAGGGCTGGGACAACACACACTTCGTGTAGGGACTTTCCATGTAAGGCAAAGAGTGAGGAGACAAGCTGTCTGAGTGTCACTGATGAACACACTGGGGACAGACAACAGCACTCTGGGGAGACAGGCAGTGCTGACAATTTCCTTTGGTATGGAAAATATGTACCCCCCAGTTTCTAAATGCTGAAAAACAGGCATTTGTGGGCTCTATGTGTTCCAATAAAAAAAAAAGTGTCCGACTATCACTCTAGAAACTAAAAAGTGGAAGAGAGAAAACTTTCTGCACATCCTCTGCAGACATCTTTCTAGGAGACTAGATGGAAAAATTCAAAGTTTCTACAGCCATCCACCCTCCTCCATACAGCAGCTTAGGAAGTCACTCCATATCACAAACTTTTACTTACCCCTCATTTCCTCTGCAAAATCCTGGCTCTGACTCAAACATTGACTGGTCTTCTTCAGTTCTTCCTGCAGGTGGCAGACTTCTCTGGCACTTTGTTCAGACTGGCTCTTGAGGAAGCTGTTTTCCTGCTTTATTTCCTAAAGCACAAGTTTACTTGGTTATACTCCAAACAAATGTTCCAGCAAACTATGACTTCTGCATCAGGAAGAGTCCCTAATGGAACTGGTGGTGTGTATCTCATGGGGGTGGGGAGAAGATTCACACCTTCCCTTTGAGCACATTATACAATAAGACATTCTGACTTAAACCAAATGATTTTATGAATAGAATTTAAAACAAAAGCACAAAACCAAAATATGATGGCAACATCTTGTTTTGAGAAAACTATTTGAACTTTCTGGTTGTCTCTAAGCTTGTTAAAGGGTTCACTAAGATGGAAAATCCCATTAAAATGGTCCCAAAGAACACAAGCTGCAAGTTCTTATCACACCTGAATGATCAACTATATCTTTGGAAAGTCTGATGTGCCAAGGAACAACATACATTCACAGGAAAAATGTTTCCTTCACACTCGAAAATTATCTTAAGGTTCACTGTTACAGGGATGTCTTTATGAGTAAATTACTTTGCCTAAGTGTTTATCAAAAAATCTGCAATGACTTTTTGGAGTGGGCAGTAGAAAAGATGTAATATAAGAAAGACAGAGTCTCTGCCCTCTGGAAGAAGTGATACACACACTTCATAACTCAGGCAAGTACTAATGACTCAAGAGGGGCCGTGTGCTATGGGAAACCAGGCTGGATCACAGAAGCAAGATTTCATTCTACATAAAAGAGTTGAAGCTTTCACAGGGAACACAGAGTCTTTGGGCACCTGAGCAAATGAAGTGTCCATGCACCAAAGTGCAAATAAAGTATCAGAGACATAGATGCACCCGCACTGTATTATCTAGGGTAACATGAATAATTTTCTGAACCTTAAAAGCAGTAATATTTGTTTGCCTCATAAAAGTGCTATTGCTTATTGACATGAAAGACACAAACTACGATAAATCCTCTATTTTTTCAACCTGTTTTTCAACCTTCAGTGATGTTGTAGCTGAGAAGTATCTCACGTGATATGATATACATCCATTTGGAACACAGAAAATTGGCACATACTGAAAGAACTCATGATCTCACATCCTTGATGTGGAACATTCATAAGGCTAACTTTAAAACACACACACACCACACATGTTTAAATCATAACCCTGTGAGAAGTAAGGGAACATTTTTTTAATCTTAAAGAAAGAATGACATGGAAGTTCTAAACCCTTTTCATGCTATGCCCAATGCATCTCTTCCATCTGGCTGTTCTTGATTTATATCCTTTTATAATACACTGGTGTTTGTGGTATGAAGACAGTGGCCAGATGTGTAGGAGAGGAGTGCACTTCCACTCTGCACACAAGTGAAACACCTAGCCAATCTTCAGAAAAACAGAGCAAACAGCCAAGAATACTCCAGCATATATGAAGATTGGAGACCAGAAATTGTAGAGGACATTGAAAAATCAGATGAGTAGGTGGAATCTGTGAATACCAGGATACCTGCTGGAAGAGGAAAATCACCAACAAAGGAACCACAAATAGATAACAACCTAAGGATCCTCCAAACCTTGTACACATGGAAGAAACACCTTCAACACAACTTGCCCATACCTGCACAAAGAATGCAAGAGGTGGTGGACCCTCAATTAAAGTTAAGGAGTGACACTCACTTAACCAGCTAGAGGGAAGGACCCACCAAAGAAACATCCAACAATAATCAAATCCAAAGATATCTGGAGAGCCAACATAAATAAATGCCCAAGACCAGAGAGCTCAGAAGATCAGGAGATCAAGGAATCTCACAGGTGTTCTACCATAGAAGTTCACACCATAAACCCAGGGAGTCAGAACAGAGCATTTCAGAAGCAGAGGCTAACAGGAAGAGTCTCACAAACAATGGGAAGATGAAGAAACAATCCCAAATGAAGGGAAGGGAGGAAATCTCAGAAAGCATTCTAAATGAATTAGAGGCAAGTCAACTATCAGATATTGAGTTCAAAGCAATAGTTATAAGGAAGCTCACAGAGAATTACCAAAAGTTACAGGGAAACTACAATGAACTCAATGCAAACTACATCAACATGAAAAAAATAAATAGAAACTATCAATAAGAGCCAAGAGGAAATGAACAATGCTATTTCTGAATGGAAGAACACAGTAGAAGGAAACAAAAGCAGGCTTGATGAAGCCCAGGATTGGATCAGGAAGCTGGAGGACAAGGGAGAAGAAAACACCCAGAATGAGCAAGAAAGGGAAAACAAGCCCAGAAAAAATGAAGAGAGGTCCAGGGAAATGCAGGACAACATGAAACATAATAATATCTGTATAATAGGGATACCAGAAGAAGAAGAAGGGTGAGGGATAGAAAAATTGTTTGAAAAAGGAATGATGGAAAACTTCCCTAATTTGATGAGGGAAAAAGTCACTCGAATAAAGGAAACACAGAGAGTTCCAATAAAGAGGAACGCAAAGAGGCCCACTTCAAGACAGATCATATTTAAAATGGTAAAATTCAAGATAAAGAGAGAATCTTAAAGGCAGTGAGGGAAAGACAGGAAGTGACATACAAGGGAGCCCCAATAAGAATAGCAGCTGCCTTCTCAATGGAAACTCTTGAAGCCAGAAGGGATTGGCATAAGAAATACTCCAAGTCATGAGAACCAGAGGCCTGCAACCAAGACTACTTTATCCAGCAAGGCTCTCAGTTAAAAATGGAAGGCCAAATATGAAGCTTCCTGGACAAAAGAAGCCTCAAAGAATATAGCTCCTCCAAACAAGCTGTGTGAGAGATGCTAAAGGGTTTGCTTTAAAAACAGGAAGAAAAACAGTGAAAGAGGGAGGAACACAGGTACAAAAAAACTGGCAATGAATAAGTACTTATCAATAATAACCTTAAACACAAATGGATTAAATGTCCCAATCAAAAGACACAGAATAGAGGAATGGATAAGAAAACATGTCCCACAAATATGCTGCCCACAAAGGACCCATTCAGAACAAAAGACCTACACAGACTGAAAGTGAAGGGCTGGAAACAAATATTCCAAGCAAATGGACAGAAACAAAAAGGCAGGGTAGCAATACCTATATCAGACAAAATAGACTTCATAAAAAGAGCCATGAAAAGAGACTCAGAAGCTCACTTCATAATGCTCAAGGAAGAAACCCCCAATAAGACATAAACATTGTAAATATATATGCACCCAATATAGGAGAACCCAAATACATAAAGAAAATCTGGGAGGACTTCAAGAAAGATATTGTCAGCAACACAATTATAGTAAGGGAATTTAACACCCCACTGTCAAAAATGGACTGATCTTCCAAACAAAACATCAACAAAGATATTGTAGTATTGAAAAATGCTCTAGATGAAATGGACTTAACTGATATATATAAAGTCTTTCATCTCAAAGAAGCAAAATACAGATTCTTTTCAAATGCACATGGAAATGTTCAAACATAGGCCACATAATGGGACCCAAAACAAGCCTCAACAAATTCAAAAAAATTGAAATCATATCAAGCCTTTTCTCTGACCACAAGGGACTGAAACTAGAAACCAACCTCAAGGAAAAAAAAACCCAAACACTCAGACTCAAGGAGATTGAATAGCATGCTATTAAACATTGAATGGGTCAAAAAATGAGATTAGGGAAGAAATCAAAATGTTTCTGTAAATAAATGAAAATGAACTCACAACAATCTGAAACCTATGGGACACAGTGAAGGCAAGTCCTGAGAAGGAAGTTCATAACAATACTGGCCTACCTAAACAAGATAGGAACACTTCAAATAAACAACCTATCCCTATGCATATGAGAGCTCGAGGAACAACAACAGACAGCCCAAAGCAAGCAGAAGGAAGGAAGTAACCAAGATCAGAGCAGAATTAAATGACATAGAGACTAAAAGCACAATTCTAAGGATCAGTGAAGCCAGAAGCTGGTTCTTTGAAAAGATAAACAAAACCAACAAGCCTTTAAGCAGACTCGTCAAGAAAAAAAGACAGGAAAATAAACACAATCAGAAATGAGAGAGGAAAGATTACAACTGATACCACAGAAATACAAATTATTGTAAGAAAATATTATGAAGAACTATATGCCAAGAAATTTGAAAACGTAGGTGAAATGGACAAATTTCTAGAAAAAAATGTAATCTTCCAAAACTCAATGAAGAAGAAGAAGAAGAAATCCTGAACAGACCAATAACAGCAGATGAAATTGAAGCAGTAATCAAAAAGCTTCTGACACTCAAAAGCCCTGAACCAGATGGTTTCACAGGAGATTTTTACAAAGCATTTATGGGAGAGCTAACTCCCATCCTCCACAGATTATTCCACAAAATTCAAGAACATGGAAGACTCCCAAAGTCTTTTTGTGAAGTTGGCATTATCCTAATCCCAAAACCAGATAAAGACATAAGAAAGAAAGCAAACTTCAGACCAATATCTCTCATGAATATAGATGTTACTATCCTCAACAAAATATTGGCAAACCACATCCAGAAATACATTAAAAAGGTCATTCAGTATGATCAAGTGGGATTCATCCCAGGGATGCAAGGATGGTACCATATTCACAAATCAATAAACATTATACACCACATAAACCAAACAAAAGACAAAAATCACATGATCATATCAGTAGATGAGGAAAGAGCATTTGATAAGACACAGCACGCATTTGTGATAAAAACACTCAGCAAAGTGGGAAAGAGGGAGCATTTCTCAACATAATAAAGGCCAACTATGAGAGACCTAGAGCCAACATCCTATTCAATGGACAAAAACTTAGATCTTTCCCACTAAAATCAGGAATAAAACAAGAATGCCTGCTTTCACCACTCCTATTCAAAATATACTGGAAGTCCTAGCCACAGCAATCAGAGAAGAAAAACAAATAAAAGGCATCCAGATTGGAAAGGAAGAAGTAAAACTGGCACTGTTTGCAGATGACATGATAATGTACATAGAAAATCCTGTAGACTCCACTAAAAGAGTACTTGACCTAATAAATGAATTTGGCAAAAGAGCTGGAGACA